AACAGCCATACTTTAAGGCCTATACTAATGTGGCCAGAGGGACTTAAAGGATGGTTTTTGTCCCTTGCCCTCCAAGGTCAACCAAGTTCCAGGGGACTATGGAACATCTCTCAAAATGTCCTGTAACTGTGGTGAGTCACCTGTCCTCTTGTTCAGGGAGGACATGGAGACCCCATGAGATGGACTTGAACCAGTGTCCAGTCTACAAAGAGGAGGGTCAACTTAGAGGAAACACCTCATTCATGCTTCCAAGTAAAGCCAGACATGGTCGAACATGACCTCTGACTTATCTTCACATAGATGGAACTGGTAAAAAAGAAAGGAGCCAGGAGCTCCTCCCAAGCCCATGTGACCTCTGAGGAACAGATCCTCAAATGACCTTAAGTGTAAAAATAAATTTATTTGGGCCAAGTGTATAGTCTTAAACACCCAAAAGGAAAGTATAACCAAAGAGTAAAGTCATCAGTGTACTTCTTTAAGAGTTCAAGGGATTACACTTCCCAGACATTAGGCTTAAGTCTATACAAAAAGTTATTTAGACAATTATTTCTCATTGATGATTTTGTTCCTAACCAGAAAGTGCGCCTCAGATGTTAGACTTCAAATCTTGGTCTCCAATACTGTACTGCCCACCTGTAGCTAAGGGAGACAACCAGCTATTGTAAAATGATGGATAAATTTGTTTTCTCTCCCTATTTAGAATCCTTTAAGAGGGAACTGACACTGATTCTAACCACTCCAACAACTATCAAAATACCTGAAAGCAAATCCTGAATCTACCTCTCTAGACTCCAGCCTTGGAAGAGAAAAGAAAAATGAGGAGGACCACAATAGAGAAATGCTTTTGGAAGTCCTTTTCAAGAAATTCCAATGGACTCTCATATGAACTTTTGAAAATTTCCCTGTTCTGACTTTTTTTTTTTAATTCACTGTCTAGAACATGTAATACTAATTACTCTTGCCTTTTCTTCTCCTTCACATCCCCTATTCACCAGTCAAGGACTTTTTCTCCCTACAGATAAGA